TGTATCACTGCTCACACAACCGTTATGGCTCAAATCTGCTTTGTCACATCCAGTTTAGTTTCTATAATCCTAATAGCAATCCTTTAAACCTGATCAGTATTATTATTTTGTCATGAGAGATGGCTGATGACAGAAGCACCTGGCACCTGCCTAAGGATACCAAGTGAGCTCATTATGAGTGTGTTAAAATTTTAACCAAGAACTGTAGAGCTCATATATGGCCTTCTTAACTACCGTGTGAAAGCAAGGTTCCCACAAGTAGAGCATTTGCAGATTAAAACCAATCAAAGCCGTTTTTTCTCATTATATTTTGGCTCTTCAGTCTTAATTTGCATTCACTCATTGCATTCAAGGGTGCTCCACTGCTACTCTTATTAGAAAAAATTAATAAATGGTGGCATTACTTGTTTATTGCACTGAAATGAAATGTAACTCGGGCTAATTAGTCATTAGCATTGTATGCAGGGAAAGGAGTTATTAAAACCTAAGTGAAAATTTAATTGAAGAAGAAATTAAAGATACAGAAGGCAACAATTGCAATTATTCTTTATCCTTTAATTAGATATTCTAGCAAAAGAAAGCCTGATGTCTCATAATAGTGCATTCATGGGTTCACATTCAAATAGTTAAGTATATTTTTCTCCAGAACCATATAAATGAGTACAGTAGTATTTTGAACTAAAACTAGGAGCTCAATGTTCAGTTCAAGGCACAATACACTAGGCCTGGCTATTGTGTAGCCTTCATTCAGCTCTATTATCACAAACAGAGATTTGTAGTAGAGTACTACCACATCCTGGATTGCCCTGTGTTGCAATCACAGTGCCACTGGTTTTTAACTTCTGAGAAACATACACCTGAATTATTTGCATAGGTGTGAGAGATCTGTTTTACGGTCACAAGATACGACCCTACAATAGACTTTAGTATAGTTTAAGCCATAACAGATACTAGGATTAACTATGATTCAGCCAAACTTTGGAAGCGGGGGATGCAAATATTCAACTAGATAAAATATAACTTCTCTACTAAATCCAGTCACTGTAGCACTGCGATAAAATGTGGTGATTCTGTTTCTCTAAAGAAGGTCCACTGTACAGTGGACCCTTGACTTACAGACGGCTTGACTTACAGACTTTTTGAGTTACAGACTTCTCTGGCCGCAAAATTTAGGTTTGACTTGCAGACTGAGATTTGACTTACAGACCAGAAAAAACCCAAAATGGAACAAAAACGGCCTGTTACAGGATTAATCGGTTTTCAATGCACTGTAGGTCGATGGAGACTTGACTTACAGACTTTTTGACTTGAGAACCACCTTCCAATACAGATTAAGTTCTCAAGTCAAGACCCCACTGTATATTCCTATGACACCTAATGCAATTATATATGTAAGCTATTCTGGTAGAAAGCGTCTAGAGTTGTGCTCATAGTCACACTATATGTTACAAATAGCACATCCTTTGAATCTGAAGTAGCATTAGTGTCAGAAAGATATGATCCCAGCAGTCTTTGGCATCTGCACTTCCAAGGAAGCCTGTTTACTTCCTGATGATCAATCACAAAGCAAGGCAAGCTAACTTGAACATTATGGGAGCCATGAAAAACGTTTGCTGTGACAATTAGAGACCTTCTAATACTTAAGAAATTCTCTCTTCTAATGATGAGTTAGAAATGTAGTTTAACCCTCAGACCCATGGCTTCCAAGACTCTTTTGCAAGCTCATCGCCTTCAGATGTGCCTGATGAAGCTGGTGCTAGTCTTCGAACTAGGATGACAACTGTGCACCCAAACAGCAGCTGAATGATATTTTTGAAATATTTTCCAACATTCTTCAATGATTTATCCTTTTCACTTTTCACCTTTTTACCATGGCATAACGTATGGTTTGACTTCCATGAAAATAGTATACAGTATATTGATATTAATAGTATATATTGTATATTATATAATGAGAATCTTGATAAAAAGCACAAATATTCAAAATGCATGGTTCTTCAACCCCATTGTTTTATAAATGTTTTTTTCCTACTATCACTGTTCTTCTTTCCTAGTCATTGTAGACATTGATGTTTTGAAGGTTAGAGATTAATTTGAATGTTTGTGGATTTTTCAAAAGGCAATGTTTGTTCTAGTTATCCCAAGTATTAAGAGAGTGAGTTATGAGATTTAGTATATTAGTTGTCTTTCATTAGGTCAATTATAGTTGATATAAGACTGTGAATATTTTCTTGTTTTCCAATGCCTGTTTTACACAATAATGCCTGAAATTCTGATGCTTTGTGTAGTGTTGTAGCCAGAGTAGGCCTATTTGAATCAGCAGAACTGACTCACCAAATCCTCACTGGCTCTAATGTACTTCACTACGATGAGCAACAAGGTTTCAGCCACTAACTACTAAAGACTTATATATTTATGCTAGCTTCTTATTTTAAGTACATAGGCTGGATTACAATGCTTCAGAAAGTTAGTTTTTGTATAACAACTCCCAGAATTCCTCATTCAACATTTCCATATTGACTGAGGGCAGTTGCACTGCAAAAAAGTAACCTTTTCAGCCTCTACTGATGAGTGAAGAAAGGCATTTCAGTAATGTACTGATGTCAATATATTATTTCAATCCAAAACACAGTTGCACAGTCTTAAACGTGTTAGTTTTCCGTGGCTTTAAAAACACTTAACTCTCTATTCAGTAGTGGACTTTGTATCCAAAAGGATTTTATGTACAACAAGTTACTCCCTGAACAAGATTCTTAAAGCACATGACACTGCAAAATAGTGATGATAATAGTAATTTAAACCATTTCTGAATCCAGGGAAGCAGCTAAAACACAGCCTAGCTAGCACATTAGCAGCAGCCATATTCTCTATAAAACAGCAAAGTTATGCCATGTAAATCTCATAATTGTCTCAAAAAAGCCTGATTAACAGGTCAAGGACTGCATGAATTGCAGGTATTTGAGGACAAAGTCTTCTCCCTCTATCTCTTAAATGCCCTGTTAATAGAGTTGTCTGTAAACCCCAAAACGATCACCAAAGTCATAAACTTTCATTGTTCAAACATTGTTTGAGCTTTCTGATATTTACTGGCAGAGCAAAAGTTGATTGTGTTTTTCTTAAAGTTCATATTTAGTTCACTGCATGCAGGCACTGGCCAAATATTAAAAACACTCATGTAAGAAAAATTGACTGAATGTCCTCTTTATTATGCCAGCCATTATTTTCTCTGCCATACGGTAAATATTTTTTGCAGGACCAAAGTGTTTTTGTCTCTCTTGAATATATTTGTTACCTGATTAACAGTTTAGATTAGTAAGGTACTCAGGATAAGTTCTGAAAAACTTCTAAAGCTGTGCACTGACAGTTTTTGATACTATTAGGAAGACCTAAAATAGGATTCATAGTTCAAATGAGAACTCAGAGGGTCCATGTAACTCTGAGCTCCACCCAATGTTATACAGACAGATTTCAACTTAGACCTCCTTTTGCTTTCTTCCCTGCTACACTGTTGTGTATGTCCCTCATTGTGCCAGGGTTTTCTGATGTTTCTATTAATCACAATTTCCTGTTACTATTTTATTTATTTATTTAGTATTTATTTATTTATTAAATTTATACCCCGCCCCTCTAGACCATGTCTACTCGGGACGGCTTACAACATAAAATAAATCGATATAAAATATGTATAATCATACAATTACTATATTAGTTAAAACAATTAATTTAAGAAAGGATTACCAAGATGGGGTAGGATAAGGAAAGAAGAAATAAAAAAGACTTACTATCAATAATCTCTTTTCTGTGTAGACAAACCATATATTTAAGAGTAATGTTTAAATGCCTCCTTGACTTGTCTCTATCAAAACCATAGGTGGGGAAATGGCAACCTTTGAGTGCTGGATCCATCTCTCAGGATTCATCATTACCTTGGCTAGGATAGCTAGAACTCCTGGGACCTGCATTCTGGTAACAATTGGAGGGATAAACTTTACCTAACGATGATTTATATATTTCTATGTCAGCGCTATTTAGCCTAAAAGCAGCCAATAAAGGTGCAGTAACATTCACGTGATTACAATTAGCAGAATCCTGTTGGTGTTCATGTACATTTTGTGCAAGTTGCCACAGCTAACTGCTGCTAATTGATGCCAGGGTCAGTGATGGTTGCCTGCCTGGTCATATATACAAATGTATTAACTGCAATCAGCTGCAAGTTACACAAACATGACATGAATACCAATAGGATTCTGGCCAATGACACATGGGAGAGATGATAAATAATACCAACATTCAAATGGCATGAGGAAGCTCTTCGTAGAGATATGTAACATAACACAAATTTAGGAAATTTTAATAGCAATTCAGCAGTATTACATCACCAATATTAGCAGTTTGTGCTAAGGTAGCATAATAACGTAGATGCAGAAATCATAGGATAAGCTTGCTTTTCTATTACCTTGTAGGTCTTATAAAACAGATGTTTCCTCTTTCATGACATACTTTGCAGTTACTTTTAATTGAAAAGATGTGCACAAACACTAGTGACCTGCTCCTTGAAGTCCAACTTAATAATGTAGAAGCAAACCCCGAGTCTCCTTTCCCGTCCATTCCTTCAGAAGAGACAATATATATTCTATAACCAATACTTTATCTAGCACAAATATTTCCACTCCCTGGATCATATGTTTATGGATTATGATCTTATCTGGACAGCTAATACTCACTACAGGCTCAATCTTCCAAGTGCCTTGGTGCCCTCACCCTCTGGCTGCTATGATGTAATGGAATGTTCACACGCAATCCTTGGGATGCTTCCAGCAACAGCAGCACACAGAGGCCCCAGTGACAAGTGGTCTTGTCTGTGCGCTATTTACAGAATAAGAAAGGAAAACAGAGGTGGGAGTGCTAGGGAGGTAAGGAGATTATCACTTGAGAAGCTGATGGGCAAGAGGGCCCTGGAGACAAAGGAGAGCCATAAGACCCACTTCAGGACATGCAGCAATCTGAACATGAGTTGGCCCAGTAAAAATAAAGTGTCCCACATGTTGTTTGCTTTTCACTTAAATTCCCTACAGGTCCATATTACATGGAAGCCTTCTGATTATACTTACCTTATCTACTGCTTTTCCTTTATTTGCTGACTCTGGGGGAGGTATGTGTCTCCAAGTATGTTTGTAAAAAGCCTTAAACACAATGGAGTTTGCTCTTAACTGCAGCCTCTCCGATCTACTCCTAAATAAGTATTAAAGAGTGTCAACAAGACTGTATAATGTTGTTAACCTCTGAAGAAAACTCTAGCACTGATATAATTTAACTAGGAGAATCTTCTTGAGTGTATATCAAGTCCCCTAGGATGAATAAATTAAAACATATAGTGTGAACAAAGAAGTGTTGCAACATGTCTCAAAGTGCTTTTCTTGGGACAATGAGAAAACAGTGCTCCGAAGTCAAGAGCCCTTGCTTACATTCTTTGAGTTCAGCAACAGCTCCCCCACCGATTTCTGCAGAACTTTGCATAACTTTCTTAGCAAACCTTAAGCTGTGTAACTTTCTTAAAGAAGCTTCACTGCCAAAGTCACTTTTAGTGTACATCAGGCTCTGTGGCTTGTGGCTCTCCAAGTATTGTTGAACTGCAACTCCCAGTGGACTGCATCTCCCATTAGTAAGCTCCCATGGAGTCTCTTTGGCATCTGGAAGCCATTAGGGGCCATGGGACAAGGGAAAGTCTTTAAGTACTGAAAATCACATCCACAAATAAATCACCCCAGCTGTGGCAAGCTGCAGTAATTAAAGGCTGCAGTCCCCATGGCTTCCCAGTTGGGAAAGGGATTACATAGGAGCTTTGGGACTTTTGAAGGGAAGTTAGAAATGTTTTATTTCCTTAAAATTGCTACATCTGATGCCATCAGCTTTATTTGGTGTAACTTAGAAAATGGGGTCTCAGTCTGTATCTCCTTCAAAATGTTCACCATGACATTATTCTTCTGCTTATCCCCATGAATTTTTTAAACTCTTGCTTCTTCTAGTTTTGTCTCCATTGGAACAAGTTCAACAAATCATTTGTATGCTTTTTTCCCCTCACAAATGTCATTGTTTTACTGTATGTGCAATATAATCCTATACATGCTTACTTGGAAATGACTCACACTGTTTTCAATGTGGCTTCCTGTACATGTATTTAGTAAGTGCAGTATGATAGTCAATCACCTGGGAATGAGCCTTGCTGATTTGAATGCCCTAATGCTAGTTTCAGCGAAAGAGTACACCGATTGAATGGTAAGTCAACACGTACATAAATCTCATCAATGGGTCCATTCTAGTTGAGACTAGGAACAGGTCACTAGCCAATGTAACTTACATGTGAGTAGTCACACACAGGTGTTTTCCTTGCAAAATGTTAGCTCTACTTCTGTTCTCTTATCCAAACAGACTGGCATTTTAAAACTAAGTTTTGGAAATCTTGCATTTTTCTAAGTAAAAAGAACAACATTTTCACACATAAATGATTTCACTGTGAGGTCTTCGCTAAAATCCTGTGGCAGATTCAGAAGAACTCTAGTGAAGTTAACTCACAGGTATCCAGGAGAAAGTTCAAACCAATGAGCTACATGAAGTACTTAGTTCTCATCCACAACCATCATTGAAATGTAATCTTTGTATCGAACAGTATTTGTTTCTGGATCTACAGCAGCAGAGAGCATTTCCTCCATTTCTTCCTGTGTGAAAGGCTCACCTGCAGCAGAAATAGAAATGTTTACAAGGAATTGTGTGGGTTTTTTTGCCCTACTTAGCCATCTTCAACAATAAACTTATTTATTGTTTATTGAATAATTGCTTCTCAGCCCATGAGAGTTCCCAAAACAATATATAACCACTAAATGATGAAATCATTCCATTAAAACATATAAAGAATGTTAATAATCAATGTTAAATGTCAGAATTCTTTAAAAAAAAAAAATAATCAATGTTAAATGTCAGAATTCTTTTTTAAAAAAAAAGATCAACAACCAGTTTTAAAACCACTACAAAGGCACCTACAAAGGAAGGCTGCCTTCCAGAAGCTCACAAAAGATGCAACAAGTCTGACATCCCTTGAGAGGGAGTTCCACAGTTGAGATGCTACAATAGAGAAAGCCCTGTCTCATATGCAGAACTAACCTAGCTTCTTGGGTGATGGGACTTGTAACACAGGGTCTCTACTGAAAATCTCAAATTCTAGGCAGGGACATAAGGAAGAAGGTGGTCTTTAAGATATCCTGCCCCCAATATGTTTAGAATTATATAGATCAAGACTAGCACTTTGAGCTCAGATTGAAAGCAAATTAGAAACTAATATAGTTGGTTCATCATACATCACTGCTAACATCCAAGAAACTAATATAGTTGGTTCATCATACATAGAGAAGCTTCATAATGTTAATTTGGACAATAAAGGAACTGAAATTGTTAAAGATCTTATATATATTCAGGCATCAATCCAAGTGGAGACTGCAGCCAAGACTCAGAAGAAGATTAACATGTGGAAGGGTAGCAATGAAGGAATCAGAAGAGTTCATCAAGTATAAGGATGCTCACTGGATACCAAGGCTAAGATAATCAACACTACTATTCTTCCAACTACTATGCATGGATGTGAAGGCTAGACAGTGAAGAAAGCTGACGAAAAATGATGGATTAATTTAAAATATGGTGCTAGATGACAGTTTTGCTAGTTCAAATCAAGCCTGAACTCCCTCTAAAGACAAAAATGACAAATCTAAGTCTGTAATACTTAAGGTACATCAAGAGAAGACAAACTTGCTGCAAAACCCAATAATACAGTACTAGGAAAAGCTGGAGGCAACAGGAAAGGAGAAAGACGAAATATGAGATGGACTGAATCCATAAAAAATTCCACAGGCTTAAGTTTGGAAGAGCCAAGTTCTTAATACATTATAAAAGTCAATCATTCAAAGGGGCACCATGGGTTGGAGACAACTTTATGGCACGTAACAACTTCCAACAGTTGATTCAAGGCAGATAATATACTGTATAGTCTTTAAAGTGTGCAACAGGCAGCGATCTTGCTACCATATTTTGCACTACCTATAGCTTTTGAACAGTTTCAAAATAGCCCCTTGTAAAGTAAATCAGTGCAGTCCAACTCGATGGCGATTACTGTATGAATCACATTAGTTGAAGCTGGGCAGATGCATTCTTGACCATGGCAGTTACACAGCCTTCTAGTAGCAATACTGGGTTCAAGAGCACCTGTGAACTGTAAACCTGTTCCTTCACAAGGAATACAACTGCATACAGAAGAGGTTATAATCCTGATTCATTGCTGGAATATTACTGACAGGATGGTATTTTGTCTTATTTGGTAAAGAAAACAATCTGTTTACCAACATTTAGTAATTAACTGCACCTAAATAGCAACACTGGGTTTCCATGGCCTCCTTGGCATCAATTGAAAAAGAGACCTGAGGATCATCATACTGTTGACACCCAGACCCAAAATATTAAAAATTATATTACTTACAGTTATATTCCAACAAGGCCTGCTTCATACATTACATTTAAAATGGCTTTATATGTGCATACAAACATATAGTGGGTGAGACAGATGATTTTGGGCACAATTCCACATGATGGTTTTACCCTTTAAAATCCTTACTTGTTGGACTGTTGGTAAAAAAATGTTTTCCATCTGCTCATTCATCAGATATTCCTGCAGTTGGAAAGCTGTACTGAAAGCTGAAGGTCAGATAACACACACTTTGCTGATGGCATCACTGCCAACATCCGTATGCAGATAATGGACTATTATTAGCTGAATTTACATCAGTGGTCGCAAAAGTTACTCAATAAAATCAAAGGTATAGGTAATGAACATGGTCTAAAATTAAGAAAACAAAATTGGTGGTAATTAGTGAAAAGCATGAAGTCTAACGAAATGCATCTACAGATTCAAATGAAAGTGTGGAGCATCTTGACAAATATGAAATTTTGAATTTGGTTGAATGAGCAGTAGGGTTATAGTCATACAAGAAATGCTAGAACAGAAACGGCCCAGAATCCTTTCCTTAAGATAAGGAATGTAAGATGCAACAAAAAAGTAAAGTTTGTGATGCTGCTATGTATTCTCAGTTCTACTGTATTTAATATAGGTTACTATAAAAAAAGAAATTGAAGTGTAGATTTATCACAGGATGATAAGAATTTGCTGAACCAAGAACATGACCGATGAAGAAGTACTAAGGTGAATGAATAGAGATAAAGAAATCACAGTAGTGGGATTTATGCTACAGAAATACAGTAGTGGGACTTTATGATAAGTAAAACTAATGATGTCATAAATTGTGGTGGTCTTCCACAAATTAAATCTTTCCAATTCCTTCTCCAACTAAAGGTCTTGAATTTAATCTTGGGGAAGCCACTGGCGCCATGGGCTCTTTAATTTTCAAAAACTGCCACCTCTGGGAATATTACTGGCGGTGGTGATTACTGGAAATTAGAAGCTCCTCTAGCCCTGTGGCCCCCAACAGTATCCTCCTGATGAAAGGGGTCACATAGGAAACACAAGACTTTTGGAGGAGAGGAATAAGAATTTTTGATTTATGAATAACCACTGCAACTGCTTTATGTGCCATAAATTCCGCTACTGAATCTTAGCCACTATGTACTAAAAGCAAGAATACAGTACTTCAGTCACATAATGAAAAACAAAGTTATGGATTTGTTCAACTTATCATCCAAGGTAAATAAATGGGAAAAGAATTACTGGAATGAAAATTTATTGTTAAAAGAAGCTGGGAGACTGGTTTGGGAGCAATATCTCATTGTTTACAGTTGCCACAGACATGGTGTGATAATATCAAGTGTCAGAAAGTGATATGCATTAGAAGTTGTGTTCTCCATATCCCATTTATATTTCTCTCAGTTTACTGGCTATATTGAACTGTTGGGAAGGCATGCAGAATGAATTAATATGGTGTACAAAAAACCCAGATTAGCAGTACCTAAAGTTATTGGAAGGGCCATTTAAGGAGAGAAAGGAAGAATGTGGCCCATCGTCTATCCAACATTTTCTGATGGGAGATGCTACAATATCAGCTATTGACTCTCCTCCACATACTGTTGAGCTGACAATGGAACAGCATAATGCATTCACAGGGGCTGGATTTAATCTAAGGTCTCCATCTGCAAATCCCTAGTATTGTAAATTGTCACATGGTCATGGCCAGGATATAAAGATGGCATTACCTTTTCAAATGTTTGGCTAATTTTAGAACATATATATTTACCTTCTTCAGTCATATACTTGATCAACTCATCTTTAGTAAGATGTCCACATTTATTCTGATCTAAAACCTAAAAGAATGAGAGTATGTCATAGAACCTATTGTACTTCAATGTATGAAAGTCATTTTTCCCAGTAGTAGAATTTTATTGATACAAACCTCAAATGCACGTAAAAGAACATCTTCTGGAATGGGCCGGTATCTGAAATAATTAAATTAATAAATAGTGTTGAATAAGAATCTAATACTGTAGGTTGCTTTCCTACTGTAGAAGACTATTTTTCCTGTTCCTTGTTTAAGAACTGTAACATTTATACTGCCACACTTGTCTGTTGAATCATAAAATTGAGAGAGGAATATCACTTTAATGTCATGTTCAATGAGGCTTTGTTGGCTTAATTTATGGTACATTCCACACTAAGCAAAGTCTTAGAAACTGACTGACAAGAAGGAGGGGAACAGCATAAATAATCAACAACATTAAGGAGAAAAAATCATATAAGTAAATATCCAATTCAAGAATGGATTTTTCCAATAAACATTAGGAAAAATTGCATTTTAATTATTTTGCCCTTTCATTTTGCTTTTTTATTGTATTTTAAATGCTGTAAGCCGCCCAGAGACCTTCGGGTAGTGTGGGCGGCATACTGTATAAGTCAAATAAATAAATAATTAAAATAAATAAATAAAAGCATGCAATATTAAAAGGGAATTAACAATGCCCTGGGCTTTATTTTACTGGTGGCTCACAGGATTAATCTTAGAATCTATTCTCAGGCACCATTTCTAAAACACATTGAATAATTGTAATAAGGTTGTCTGCAGTTGTTGTTATATGCTATCCAGTTGCTTCCAACTTATGACAACCCTATAAAAAAGTAAGTGATTTCCATAAGGTCTTTAACAGACTTGCCCAGTCTTGCAAACCTAAGGCCACATTTTGTCTTCTTTTTCTGCTGCCTTCAGCTTTTCCCAGCATTATTGTCTTTCCCAGTGAGTCTTGTTTTCTCATGAAGAACCAAACTACTGCAACCTCAGTTTAGTCATTTTTGCTTCTAAAGAGAATTCAGGCTTGATTTGATCAAGGACTCGTTTATTTGTTTTTCTGACAATGCATGGTATCCACCAAACTCTCTTCCAACACTATACAGTATTTTGAAGGAAGCCATTATTTACTCTTTCTTCACCATCCAGCCTTCACATCCATATACAGTAACTGGGAATAACAGCAAACAAAACTGTAAACGCAGTTAACAAAACAGTTGACAAAGATAATGACTATAGAAGTACTATATAACTTTAAGGTTGACAACAAAGAAATTGAAATTGTTAAAAATTTTGTACACCTTGGTCCAATCATCGAATCAAATGGAGACTAAAGCCAAGAAATCGGAAAAGCTGTAAGGGCAGCTATGAAGGACCTAGAAAAGATCCTCAAGTACAAGGACGTGTCACTGAAGAATCAAATGGAGACTAAAGCCAAGAAATCAGAAAACAAGAGACTTGTAAGGGCAGCTATGAAGGAACTAGAAAAGATCCTCAAGTACAAGGATGTGTCACTGATAACAAAAGCCAAGATAATCCACACTACTGTGTTCTTTGTTACTATATATAGATTGTGAAAGCAGGGCAGTGAAGAAAGCTGAATTATTTGAAATATTGTACTGGAGCTTTATTTTCTTTGCCAGTAAGTCAAACAATGAGGTTCCAGGTCATAGCAATGAAACTAAGAGTGTCACACTTCAGGGACATCATGGGAATTCAAGATTTGCTGGAAAAAAATAATATTGGGAATGTTTTTCTATCACAATCATTTTATTCTTTAAAACCTGATTTTATCTCTTCTTGTTGTTTTTGCTGTGTGCCATCAAGCCACTCATAGGTGCACACTTCAACATAGTGAAGTGGTTTGAGTGAGTCAGGGAAGCCGAGAGCAATGCCATTAGGAGACTCCATTATGAGCCTGGACTCCTAGCAGGGTGAAATAGTCAAAGCTGAGACACCAGAGGAAGAACCATCCACCCTCTTCAGGATTAATGTTTACATCAGCAGAAGATACTGTACTGTAATTGCTAGTTCCAATGGTGAGACTCCTAGAAAGCAGCTATCAGGCAGCAACTGCAGTGGAAGTTGATACTGGGGAAGGATCCTTAAACATGGCAGTGACACACAAGGTAACTGTTAATACTGCACAGAAGGCAACAGCAAGCCATTTCTGAATACTTCTTTACACTGAAAACCCTATGATTTTATCTAACCACCTAAAAATAATCTTAATTAAAATTAGCCACAAATGCAAGATGCAAATTATCCCTCTCTGAAAACTTTTGCAGTTACCTTCTTTCCATTAGTACTCTAGTCATCATAGGAAGAAATTTTTCCAAACGTATAAACCCAGTTGGTTCTTCTTCTTCTACCTAAAAACATTATTTTAAAAATGTCAATATGTAATCTAGATGACATGCTAGATAACAGGAGTAAAAGCTAATTGGCCTGGAACAAACCCTTAACCCCATGAAATAACAAAATAAAGGCAGTAAAGGCAAGGCAAGGTCTTAAGGCCTCAGTGAAGAAGCCATATGTTAATGATGGGAAATGTATGGCCCTCCAGATCTCGTTGGCTTGCAGTTCCCATCAATCCTAGCCCACACAATAAATGCTGATGATGACTGGAGCTGTAGCCTAACATTTAGAGTGTGCGACACATGGTTATATTTAAATACTTATATTTTATGCTTTTAACTGTAATTTATTGTATTGTACTTGTTTTACTGCACTTTATATTTGATTTATGCCCCAATTGTATTATTAATATTTTGTATATGCATTATTTTGTTACTTTGTTGTTTTATCTGATGTAAACCGCCCAGAGTGGCCCAGGCTGCCAGATGGGTGGTATATACAGTAAATAAAATAAATAAATGCATTGTGATGGTAAATGTATTGTTTGAAATGCAATGACTGGGGAAGTATGCAATGGGAAGGGGTGAATGAGAAGCATGGAATATTGGTAAGAATGGTTCAGGTTGGTTGGGAAAAACTAGAGGAGTGGAGTGTTAGTAAGGTTTTTGAGCAGTCTGATGTGGAAAAATCAGGGAGAGGGGAGTTTTTGAGTCTGGGCTCTGACATTGAAGTTAGAGAAAGCAGCCGTGAGGGAGATTGAGGGGGGGAAGACGTAGTATACAGAGAGGACTGTACTGAATAAATTTAAAACCTAAGAACAAACAACGTTCTTTTTATACAATTATTTTTAATAAAACATCATCATTTTTATCCAAGCTGAGTGATGCTGAATTCAATACTTGAGGGCTGGCTATGTAGAAGGTGTTATAAGGGCCTGAATAAAGGGGCAAGTACAGCCACATGGGGTAGCTGAAGGTTGGTGGCAGTGAAAGAGGAACTTAATGAAGATTATTAAATAAAATACATTTATTCCTCTGATTGAAAGAGACCATGACAAGTGGCAAGGCAATGGTACCAGTAGCAGAGAGAAGGGGGTCAGTGGCTCCCATTCTGCCATAGGTTGTTCCTTTTATTTCCTTCTTTGAGTTCAGTTTTACAAGCAAAGGGGTGCACAAGCACATTTTCTCTATTGATCAACATTTCTTTTAAAGTTACCTGTTCAGAGGCTACACTCACACTGTTCCTACAACAATTTGGCGCATTAACTACTGTATTTAAAGCATGTGAGGGGAACCCCTTTCCTATGAAGGGCCACTGCATCATAGGAAACATCATGGGGAGGGGCACAGCCAAGGGTGGGTGGGAGCTGCAGCCCAACTATGGCAGACTTGTAACATGTAGCCTTATATACCGTAGCTATTCCTCTCTATGCCAACTCAACCTCTTTTCTCTCCTTGCCTTTTTCCCACCTTATCTCTTTCTTTTCCCCACTCTGTGTCCATCAAGAAATTAGGCTGCAGATTGCATGCAGCCTGTGGACCACAGTTTTCCCTTCCAGGTTTGTAAAATCTTCAGGGAAAGTGTCAGATGTGAACCAGGAGCAGTTTTCCTTCAAAGTATTCTCACAGCAAAATCTCAAAATACGTTTTGAACTTGAAACTCTCAAAAAGTAGTTTGAGGGCTTCTGAGGGCATCTTTGGATTAGAGGAAGCTATGTTATATCACAGTCTGGCTGTGAGCCCATCTACTTCAATATTTTCTGATTAGCACTGATTAACAGCAGTTCTTCAAGGTTTTAGACATCTCCATCTCTTAAAGAAGTTACAAATTGAACCCTGAACATTTTGTATCCAATAAGCCTTCTCCCGAAGAACTTATATTTAGAAGTGTTTCTATAAAATGTTTATAAAGCATTTTGCTGTCTGAATAAACTGGCATTTCCATCTCAAAAATCAAAAACATTCCAACAGTATCACTGATAAATTAAAATGAGAATCCTCATAACTTAAAATTAAGAAAACCTAATTAATAGAGGATTCTTACAATTTTACAGTAAAAGAGGTTTGAAATTTGCATTGACTATTTAAGTTAAGTCAGTTTATTAATTCACTGTACTCCCAAGACATGCTCAAATCAAGAGAAATAGAAATTTTCAACAACTCAACACTGTCCTCTAGTGGTAATAGGGCATTGATATAAATCCTTCCTCTGGCACCTTGAACATGAATTGGTTTATAATGGCATCAGCTTTTGGTGACTAGAGGTGACTTACCAGTTTCGTATTTTGAGCATGTACCCCTACCTGTGGATGGGTATATACTTCTCTATGATATAATAGCTCTTAAATCCGATGATAGGAACTCTAGTCCTCCAAAAAACTTATTTCATGATAAATATTTTAGCCTGAAAATTTCAAAAGTGTTTGTTCGTTCGTTTTTTCTGTTTTCTGCTACAACAAAATAACAGGGCTACTCCCTTGGAACATCTTTCAAAAAAGACTTTTTTCCCATGTTGAATAGTATTTTTACATGCTTTTTTAATGCTCTCCTTATGTAATTCATTCATTTCAAAATTAATTGTGACGGTTTGACATTTTTCTTTCCAGTATCCACAGAGTAATAGCTATTATAATAGTTTTACGTGAAACAAACATTGCATAAAAACATTGCATTATAATGAAAATTGATTTTTTTTTTTACCGGAAATTTTCTAGTGCCTTCCACCAACATTAGATTTAAAACAGGGACAGTGGAAATTTAAAAGCCTCCTTAAGAAATAGTTACAGAAGTGCTCTTTTTACAAAAGTAAAGTGAATTACTGCATTCACTTTTGAGATGGTAACAGTATCCAGCCATTTTTCTACTTCATCCATTTCACAGGTCAGTATTTCCTGAAACCTGGTATTTACTAGATAGATGTGGAGTTTCCTCTACATTGTCTGGGCTGCTAGAATTACATTACAAGCTTTACATTAACAGAAGATAAGGAGGAACATATATGCTGATGCTTGGTCAGTGGGAGATCAGAATTTTAGCTGGTACTCACCCTACTCCAGATTAAATAAATCACAAATCAGAAGAGGTTCATTTGCCCTGACATAGACTAAGAGTAAGTTATACAAGGAGCAACAAGATGGAGGACACATTGCCAGTACTCTGCCCCACTTGATTGCCTGCAGTCTATCCAAAAATCCTACCTTTCACATGTTTGTTTGTGACATTTCTATCCCTCCCATCGAGTTACAAGGCATTATTCTGAGTGGCTAACAACAATGGAAAATAAATACTCACATACCACGCACAAGCACATAAATACTACAGACCAATAAAAATGCTTAATATACTGTAATGTTTAATATAATTTGTAGCTTGGTTCTTATGAATGGCTATAAGGCAAAGTTAGATACCTCATTTGTTAAACATAATTCTTCCATACTATATTTCTAACTTCTTCCAATTCAGAGGAAGAGTACAGATTTCCCAGATAAAATTATAAAATAGGAGAACCTATATAATATCTGAATTACCTCTGCAAGCATATCATGCAAATCACCTTCACTTGGGCAGCAGCCTAATGACCTAATGATTGTGCCAATCTCTCTGAAAGAGAATATAATTATTAGCAAAATTACAGGGCGATGCAACTTTTCTTCGGCTCAAAATCTGACCAGATGTCTCCCCCAGCACTTCTCTGTACTCCAGTGCTCAGAAACTACCATCTACTCAATACTCAAGAGTGGCTTTTCTGGGGATACAGGTGTCTTCAGGGAGAAGAAGGAAATAGGGAAATCCCCTTCTCTGAGATTTCTTAAATTCATTTGTCTTAGAATTCATTATTAGTGATGTGGTATTCATATATGAATACTAATACCCCCACACAGGTGGACATAATGAGGGGGGGGCGGATGACCACTCATCTTCCGCTGCTGCTGTGGGCTACGCCCTCTCTATCACTGTGGAGCTCGTGGTCGACTAGCCACTCCTGGCAGGAGGCAGAACGACGAGCCTCGTTGCCAGGTCAAAGAGTGGCTTGCTGACTGGGTGCTCCGAAGCAATAGGAAGGGAGTGTGCAGCCCACAGCAAAAAGGTGAGTGGATGGTGAGAAGGATAAATGCCAACAATACTCTCTCTCTCTCTCTCTCTCTCTCTCTCACACACACACACACACACACACACACACACACACACACACTAACCCAAAGAAAGAGAGTGGAGATCAATGGAACAGACAGTAGACTGAACAGCTAGTATATAAAATACAGTAGTAAAGAATAATGAATAAAAAAAATTAATCAAATCTATTTCAGCTAAACCACCATTGATTACTTTATACTGTACTTAAGTTGTATATACAGTACAGAGAAATTAGCCCAACTAGTGGGCAGTAAAGCAGCAGAGTAGGAATATCTTCTCATTTATGATAGGTTGTGAGGTTACTAAATTCTGTTAAATATATGTGTGTAACAAATGTAGTAAAATAATAAAATATTAAATAAAATCCCACAATAATAACTGTTTATTTTGACACACCAAATAAGTTTATAACGCATAATTTATTATTAACAGCGTGAGAGATAATAATGAAGTACTAGAAATCAAATAACTTATGCCCATTGAAACACCGGCACACCAACATACAAACAATAAAATTAGCAGAAACACGGAACACATACAAGTAGTGAGAGAAGACATGAAAGCAGACAACTTTATGAAGAAATGGCATGGGCCCAGATAAGGCTTTATTGTTCAATTGTGATATATTATTCACATAATTTTACTGGATCCAAATAAGACAATTTTCCATTTCTAATTTCATATGCTGATATAATTGCATAATGCTGTGACAACTCAAAGAACACATTCTATCGTAGAACTGAAATACAGTCGTCTGTTACTGAACTTACATTATTCTTACGCCACATCGTGCAAAGTAGTTATGCAAGTAACTATTGTAAACATATTTTTAAAATAAATAATTACTTTTCTTAACCGATATACATTGAAGACAGATTTCTTAACTAGTGTTATTAAGATAAACAGTGTTAGTACAAGCTAAAATATGGTAAAAGATCTTCCAAACCTGACATCCACAGTTTTATTACACTCATGATCAAACACCTCAAAAGCATCTGTGATTTTCTTCTGGATTTCTGCTATTACAGACTCTGCAAAATAAAAGGGGGAAAAACCTGCAAATGTTAAAAATCCATCATAATTTAATGTCCTTTATATTTTTCAAATTTACTACATAGGAGCATCAGTATTTCAAAGAGCCACAAATGCAATTAAAAAGTGAGCAAGCTCTTTAGTTCTTCAGTAGATTCTTCCCCACTTTAATTCTGTTTTAGTTACTAAATTGATTGCAGTTGTTGTTTTAACCACTTCTGGAAAACCCAGGTTTTAAGTGGTCTTCGAGAAGGTACAGACCATCAGCTTAGGAAAAACATAGTGTGACATATTAGTCACATCTTTAGCCTTGGCATACTGTGAGTTCTTCAAATAAACTACTTTCACAAACACTCCACTAAAAAAAGTTTGATCTAGGCATAGAGCAGGGTTGGCCGGTTCATGATCTCATGTACATTGTCTGGTTGCAGGCAAATAGATTAACCCAGACCATGCTGCAGGCACTCCAAACAGCAAACTAAATAACAGTCTGACCCTACCTTATGACAGCAATACTTCCCTGATTGCTAATTTATGACAAAAATTTGCACACCAAAGAGCTGCTAAATTTGAGATATGAAGAAATTAGACCTTTGCATTGAAAAATGGGTAGAAAAGAGGACCCCAACTTCTTCCATCTTTATCAGTGGAGTCTCACAATTGCAGTTCAAAGAATAAACATAACCTTTATTGCAAACTACTGTATTTAACAAACAATGAAATAGCCTATCCCTGCTCCATGCCCATTTCAGACTTTTTTCATAGTGGGCTGGAGTAATTGGGACAGTATCATATTTGGACAAAAGGGTCATTAAGGGTTGTGATACTTAAAATCTTGGGAATTGCTGTATTAGCTGTATCCACATCTGGTTGAATAACTGTATTCACCAAGTGCTTATGAATGGAGTGCAATAGAATTTCATCCTAGGATCATTAACCAGCAGTGGGATATCAGGCCAAAACAAAAGAAGAAAAATGAAAGACAAAGATGTGGCCCTGAAAGACTAAATGCAATATTTTAATTGTGAGTTTTTGTGAATTAAGTCCACTTCCTCAGACATGAGCATGAGATTTCATGGCAAATTTTTATACATTTATACATGCCCCAAAAGAAAGAGGAAGTGATTGGTTAGTAGGTATAAGTTGAATATTGTGTGAGTCAATGTGGTATTTCACACCTAGTAATGATTTCTGTTTAATATTCAGACCTATTCTGTTGAAGGTTTGCACAGGAAAAAGTAGCAGTGGTTAGTGGGTAAAGGAACTGTTGGCTAAAAATAACAGCAGCAGAAACATATTCTCGAAGGCTTTCGTGGCCGGGATCCGATGGTTGTTGTAGGTTTTTTGGGCTGTTTGGCCATATTCTGGACAAAAGGGTCCAGCCAAACAGCTGGAAAACCCTACAACAACCAACATAATTGTTAATTATACATAGTCAAAAATAAGGAGACTAGCATTTCACACCTGGTAATAACTTTTAAGATCCCTGTTTGAAATTCTGTTTCATTTCTAGATGGTTTTATTTTATAAACAACAGCAATGGAGATGGCTAAATTAACCTCAGGCTATAGATAACAGCAAGAACATGGCAACAAGTTAAGAAACTCTTGATTGCCTCTGAAGCTTGTAAGGTGGATCTGGTTAGTTAGGAAGGAAATACAGCTGAGAAATACGACAGCAGATACAACACAATTATTTTAGTGTTTTACATTTGGTAATGCCCTCAGAAAACCTTGGCTAATATTGAGTCCATTGAGATGAGTTTTAAGCATAAGCATATACTGTATTTTAAATCAGCTGTCTCTCCCTCTCTGGATTCCTGTCCTGTATTTTCTCTTTTCCAGTGTGATGTAGCTGCTAAAAATCTATATACTGCACAGTTGCGGCAATCTGATATTACTTTAACAATCATGGTTCTATTCAAAAGAATCAGGGATTTATAGTCTTCTGACAACAGCACAGAACTCACAATATTTCCATCAAACTATAAGCCTCAAAGATATATATTGTATATATGTATATATATATACATACACTTCCAAGGTTTATTAACAGAAGCCGAGTGCATATATAAATAGATCAGTTTCACTCCATACTCTATTGCAGTTTGCTTTTTTTTAAATAAAGACACATATGGTCACCTCTAGCATAATAATAATAATTGGGTGCAATAAAGTCAATTCTGACTTATTTTCACGGTTTTCTAGTTAGTGTTCAGAAATAGTTTACCATTCCCTTCTTCCAGGCTACCCTGGGACTGTTCATCTTGCCCAAGGCCACACAAGCTGGCTTTTCTGAAATCCATGGTAGGGAACTGAACTCCCAACCTTTGGTTCCACAGCCTAACTCAGATACCTAACACACTGAAGCCACTAGTTTAGGCTTCATAAAAATGACAGAAACCCAACATGGAAAGTGACAGAACACATAGCTGCAGCAGAAAATATCTACTGCAGGCAATAGCACATCAAATCAGATGCCTGACACTTAAACTCTTGCAAAAAGTACAATACTGTAGAAGACAATGTTGCTTTGCAACATTATATTGCTTTGCTTCTCAAGATACAAGTGACACTTCATAGGTATCACAACTGGGAAAGTCTCTCTTGATATTTATTTGATTGTAAATTCTACTGATTTTTAAGGAATGACACTAACATTAAGTATCCAAGCAACCATGCATTAGGGAAGCACTGTGTAAGTTCCAGTGCTGTGAACGTTTCTTCACTAATTAAGTTTTCTTTTCACTACATTGAAGCTTTATAGAGCTAGGCTGAAATACATAGGGAGTCTTCCAGATTTAGAAATCCTTTAAAAATCAATATAAGGAGTGTCTTATATGTAAACATTTAAGACAGGGGAAATATTTTCAAGCTTTCCTATTACAGTATCTGAATTCAATATATAATTTGCAACTATATTTGGCCATTTCTAAAGATGTGCCTGCTTCTTGGGAGGAAAGCGATGACAAACCTAGACAGCATCTTGAAAAGCAGAGACATCACCTTGCCGACAAAAGTCCGAATAGTCAAAGCTATGGTTTTTCCAGCAGCGATGTATGGAAATGAGAGCTGGACCATAAAGAAGGCTGACTGCCGAAGAATTGATGCTTTTGAATTGTGGTGCTGGAGGAGACTCTTGAGAGTTCCCTGGACTGCAAAGAGAACAAACCTATCCATTCTAAAGGAAATCAACCCTGAGTGCTCACTGGAAGGACAGATCCTGAAGCTGAGGCACCAATACTTTGGCCATCTCATGAGAAGAGAAGAGTCCCTGGAAAAGACCCTGATGTTGGGAACATGTGAGGGCAAGAGGAGAAGGGGACAACAAGATGGTTGGACAGTGTCATCGAAGCGACCAACATGAATTTAACCCAACTACGGGAGCCAGTGGAAGACAGAAGGGCCTGGCGTGCTCTGGTCCATGGGGTCACAAAGAGTCGGACACGACTTAATGGCTAAACAACAACAACAAAAGATGTGGAGGGCTTCTGTATTTAGGTGATGCTGTTGTCCTTTCCACTGCCACATATATGAGTTAAGCATATTTTATTTTTTAATTTATTCAGCTTATATACTGCCCAACAGCACAATATGCACTTTCTAAGCAGTTAACAGCCTACACATAAATACGAACAATCCAATAAATTAAAAGTAAATTAATACACAAGTAAACAATGCAATACAATAAAACACAACATAACTCACCAAAGTCCATATAAGCCAGATTTAAAACACAAGATGTCCAAAAGAGGACATTAATAAAAGACTGCTTTATATAGTTCCATTTTTTGAGTTTTAAAAAAGTGCGGAGGGTGGAAACCTGGCGAATCTCAAATAGTAATTTATTCCATAAATGAGGGGCTACAATAGAAAATGCTCAGTTTCTAGTGATGACTCCTTTGGCCTCCTTTGGTCTTACAGTTTTTAACAGTAAAGAGTGTGAGGAGTGGGTCGGATGGGTAGCTGCTCTGGAGGAGAGATTTCCGGCAGGTATCAAGGTCCTAAATCATTCAGGGCTTGAGCAGAGAAATTATCAAGAAGCCAGTGGCAACATGCCAGCAGAGATATGTGATCATATCTGTTCATATTTATAATCCACCCATGGTTTTCATCATCTTCTGGTACTACAGTATTTATAGTTCATTAAATTACATTGTGAAATAGAGAACTACATTTTGTTGCTATGCTAGCAAAACACTTAGGGAGAACTAGGTGATGCTGTTTAATTAACATCTTTCCAGTGAGTAAAAGTCCTAAATTCAACAGATGAAGTGGTTGTTGTGGGTTTTTCGGGCTCTTTGGCCGTGTTCTGAAGGTTGTTCTTCCTAATGTTTCACCAGTCGCAAACTGCACCAGAGCACAGAGTGCTACTCCTGTCCTCTGAAGATGCCGGCCACAGAGACTGGTGAAACGTTAGGAAAAACAACCTTCAGGACATGGCCAAAGAGCCTGAAAAACCCACAGCAACCCAGCCATCCAAGCCTTCACAAATACATTCAACAGATGAAATTTCAGGCAGAGGTGGCTACTGATCTGTACATATATCCAAAGGTATTTATGAGTAGGTATTAATTCTCTATCTGAACTTGAATTTAAACAATATTTCTAATACCTAGTTTCCACTTTGAGATTCCCACCACCAGGTGTTTAGGTACTCCCTATTTACAGAAGTGGACTTTTTGATCTTACCCCACACTTTTATACACCAGCATCTGAGAATCTGGAACTCTTCACTTCAGACTGTTCATTTGTAACAACTGCAGATTACATCACACAGGATAAATCACATACAATAAAAAGGGATCAAACAGTGATACTCTTTATTTATTTACTTATTCCATTTATACCCCACCTATCTGGTCATACGACTACTCTTAAACACAGAGATGTTAAAAAATTAGAGATTTTACTTGCACCTACCAGGATGAATTAAACAAGCCACTGCACAGTCTTAGCAACACAACAATGATCTGTGTGAAGCAGTCTGACATTTTATCAGTTCTAAAAACATAGCCTGCTAAATTCTTAATAATTTTTGTAGATAAACATTTATTGCATACTTTCATATGCAGAAGCTCCACATGAACTAAATTCTAGTCCAAAAAATACTATCTAGATCCATTTTCAGGCTTCTCGCTCTTTTTATCTGTCCCTTATAGTTAGTACATACATGCACCCCTGCTACTACTTGTCTCAATTTCTTTCTCAGGAAACAACATGTGTTGGGGAATAGGAATCAGACTATAAATTTGGATGAGGAAAGAAGAGGCAAGAACAACTACAACTGAAACTTTCACATAGTTCCCTCTATTAATCGGACAGCAAGAAACATTTCTACCTCTTTGCATCTTGCCAGGAAGCAACTTTATTTGGAACCATTTCCAACAGAATGAAGGAATGGAAAATTAAAACCAGAATTTGGATTTGTATATTTATATGGGCTTTGTAAGTCATTTTTGCGCTGGGTATTCAGCAGCAGCAGCATCAAGACTTCCACAGGGAGGTATATAATGTAATATTCAGCATTGCTAAACAAATAAGTAGACGTAGAAAATATAAATGAAGGAATATACTTTTACACTGATGTGGAACAATTGATTTTCAGAAATGTCTTTGTTACCATAAATGCTTGCCCTATACCTCTAATACTTGCTTACTACAGGGTAAACATATCAGCATAATGTTTGCAGGAGTTATTTCAGGATAACAATAACTGAATAGTGAAACCGAAGTAACTAGAAAATATTGACATAACTTACAAAATGCTCTCCACTTATAAACACACAAGCCTGTACACAAGGAAAAATGTCCAAAAACTATCCATGTGACATAAAGCCCATCACATTCTTTGTATCATTTAATCTTTATTGGCTGAAATTCTGTTTCTTAGTACAGTAAATCCCAACTAAAGTAGATTCACTGAATCAGTGAGGATTTGGTGAGTCAGTTCCTCCATAGGTTCCACTGTAGGAATTACAGAAGGGTAAAAAAAAAAATTATTCTATCTTTTAATTTATGTAAATTATTATTTGTGATGTGGTTTGTTATATGTTTATTTTTTAACTGCATGTTGTAAGCCGCCTAGAGTGGTCACAATTGACTAGATAGGCGGGGTATAAATGAAATAAATAAATAAATAAATACTTATACTGTTTTCACCTCAGCTGGTCATTGCAAGAGCTGCATCCTGAAACTTTGTTTGTTTGTTTGTTGGTTGGTTGGTTTATTAAATTTACACCCCACCCACCTAGACTGAAGTCTACTCTGGGTAGCTAACAATAATAGATAAAATAAAAACAATATCATGAAATAAAAAACAACAGTAGTAACATAGTTCAAGATGGGAAAAATGTTCAAGTGGTGACAGGAGGGAAAGCCTGCCTAAAGAGCCAGGTCTTGTTGGCTCTTTAAAACACCCAGTGAGGGAGCCAGACAGATCTCTTGGGGGAGACTGTTCCAAAGGCGAGGGGCCACCGCCGAGCAGGCCTGGTTTCTTGTTCTTTCTCTCCTGGCCTCCCTTGGCGTTAGTCCCCTCAGCCGCCCTTCCTGGCTAGAATGAATGATTAGGGTAGATTTAGGTGGGAGGAGGCATTCCACTAGATATCAAAGCCCTAAACCATTTAGGGC